TTGCTGAGCAGTTCATTAAGTTAACCAGTTAGTTTCTGCATCTTTGCTGGTGCTAATCGGTAGGGCGACTTGGCTAGTGGGGTAGCTCCTGGGACTAAGTCGATTCTGAACTCGACCTATCGTTGCGGAGGTAATCCAGGTAGCTCTTCTGGGAAGATGTCGGGAAAGTCGCTCACTACTGGAATGTTTTTTAGTTATTTCATTTCAAGGCTCGTATCGACGACATGAGTAAGGAATGCATGGTATTCTTTACGTAGATACTTCTGTGCTTGAATACTTGATATAATACGAAGACTCGCACCGGGTTTGTTGTCGTAGACGATAAGACTTTCGTTAGACAGGAGGTTTAGACGGACTGCTTTCTCATAGCACATGATGTCGGCGCGATGAAGACTCAACCAATCCATGCCGATGATAACGTCGAAGCTTTTAATCGAGACCAACATAAGGTCAATTGGAAATGAATGGTTATGTAGAGTTAGGGTACATCCTAAGTATATGCTATTTGTACTTTCTATTTTTCCGTTAGCCATTTCTACTGTGAATTGTTCTTTAAGTGTGTGTGGCTGCTGTTAAAGCATGCGAGTAAATTTATGGTTCACGAAGCTTCGCTCCGCTCCACTATCGAACAGAATGCATGCATAGGAGTTATCGAGGAGGAACGTACCAGTCACCACGGTCGGGTCAGCAACTGCTTCCCCATGGCCTATTGCTAGTACCCTCCCTGCTCCGCCATCCTTATTTGCTTTGGGGCAGTCCCTCTTATAGTGGCCCGCACCGCTACATCCATAGCAGGTTTGGCTCACACCAGAGCTGGGGACTTGGTTGATCGGCCTCACTGGGGATTTACAGAAACGGATTGTGTGTCCTTTCTTGTTGCAACTAGAGCACTGCATTTCATGGTAGGGGCCGTTGTGGTGGTAGTTGCATTTGTAGCACTTAGGAAAATATCCGGCATACTGCCCCACCGGAGCAGTAGCAGCAGCAGGGGTTATTGCAGCATGCACTGCCACAACTAGCTGCTTTTTGGCAGTGCGTTGTTTCTTCTTTTCCTCCCATAACTTCCGCTTAGTCTCAGCAGGTTTTTGAGGGTTTCGAGATGGCTAGGGTTGTTGTTGCTGCAGGGGTTTTGACTCCATGGTCAATGAGTCTCTGTGCCAGTCGCTTGGCACTGTCGAAGGTAGCAGGGTTTGATGATAGGACATTCCCCTGATACGGAGGCACTAGCCCCCATATGTATCTCTCGATCTTTTTCCCTTCAGTGGGAACCATATTGGGCAGAGGGCCACCAGT